TCACTGGAAAAGGAGTAAAAAAAGGGATCTATATGTGACCAAACGTTTTTCTTATTATTGACCAATTAAAGCGGTTTAGCAGCCGTTATTTGTTCCATAAAATCCATTTGATATGCATTCATTTGTTATATTGATTGAATTCAATAATAATATTGAATTTTACTTAGGCTAAAAATGAATTTATTACCGCTACTATATTTTATCCCTATAATAATCCCTATATGTCAATCTATCTCGCAATGTTTAGGTAATTTTTTAAAACCTGTCTCTACTTACTACCCCTATCGTAGGATACGAGTATAACCATTTCTAATTTCGGACTACTGACCAGAGAGAAGATAATCGGCCGGTAAAACACACCACCACACTGGTTTTATTTAGGTTTAAACCGAATAACGGCTTCGGCTGTCACTCTCATAACGCACCCACAATTGCAAATGCAAAACAAGTTTAGCGGCTCGAACATTATATCTTTCGATCTTAAACTTACAACACTAACCGCTGAGCCACACCCGGCCTTATTAATTTAATAATGTTACTTATGTTTTCGAAATTGAAAACTAAAAGAGAAAGAAACATCTGATACTTTCACATACCATAATTTTGGAAACAAGTTGTCATTTATAGAGGTTACTAAAAATAACGAGTATCATTTGTTATATATACATTTCTCATAATGTTGCCAAATACATAATATAGATTTATTTTGAAATAAATTGATATATTTTTGTGAAAAGTCGATAATGACTTTTGTTTAAGGCTATTCATTCAAATACTCCAAAACCACATAGAAATAGGAACAGAAATTACAAATAATTATCCAGTGAATTATTACGAACTCACATAAATTTATGTGCTCTCTGCTTCTGCTCATGACCATCCTCAGTTTTGAACTGATAGACTAGAAGTAAATTAACTAGTCACCTTTCATCCACCGAAAACTTTTGGACTACTCTTGTATGGCCAAATAGTAGGATTTAAACGCCACTCTTTTAATGTACCCGCAGTCCCAAAGTCCGGATTGTTTAAGATAAATGGAAACACAGTTGAATGTACGACTACTGAAACACGAGTTTGTCCACGTACCACCATTTTATTGTAAGTTGAATTATCATGCCGTGGTTGAGTACATTATATTAAAACGATTTTGTAAATTCACCACGTTATTACAGCCCACGTCATTAAGTCTGGATATGCTCTATTTGACGATCATGCATCTTGACAGCAGCCCTACAGCATAGTTTTCAGTGCAAATGGCTTCGTCGCAAGACTGTTATGTCTAAAATGTACCATTCCTACCTGCGTTATGGTAGAAAGAATATGTCATAGAAGCAACTTGTTTGCACGTAATTTGTGTCTTTTTCTAGATGGAGATTCTTTTTGATTACGTTGCGTACTGGTGATTATGGCACGTAGACGGCTTTTGCCACTGTTCTTTGTGTTCCCGCATTCTCACCTGTTTTTAGACGCAGCTCTTTGCTATCCACAGCTGGAATACATCTTCTTACAGGTCTCTTTCTGGATGGTCCTGATGACCCAAGTTGATACATAGTCCTTTATTTTCCGATGCCATTTAGTGCAAGAGATATCCCTATCTTGGAAATTCTAAGTTCGTAACCAGAGCATTTTTTGTGGTTTGAGTGGATATTTTAAGTCGGGAAGTGCTGTTACATACCCTTACCAGAAGTGATCTATTTTCAGTGGTATCACACTATCTACGAAATGCCAAAGAATATCCAAATGTAGTTCTGATAGGTTCCATTCCACCGCAACTCTATATTGGCTATGGTTGTCGTGTGAATTGTTTTATTTCACCAGTTCCCCATTTTTTAATGCTTCGGATGCAGTCGAGGGACGCTGAATGTTTATAATTGTTTTAGTGTGAAACATTACTGTCTCTTTTTTTAGGTTGATTGTTGTTAGCTTTGTCCATCACGGGTATCAGACACGATTTTTCTAGGGGTCAAGAGAAATTACCCAAATACATTTTTAGACCATTATCGAGAGCTCAGGTTAGGTAATGTTTTCCTGCTTTTTCTCTTGATCATGAAGACAATTATTGTTAGCTCCTGATCGAGTATTTTTAACTATGTTCACATTCAATATAATTGAAACAAATTGGACTCAAAATTAGAAACGAAAACCACAAATACCGCAAGAAGACACGCAAAGAGGGCAGAATCTTTTGCATGGAACCTCTTTAAGTTGTTATTGAATAAGAAAATGAGAAATGAATGGGTAAATTTGATATTATTGAAAATGAAATAATTACATGTACCTTTATTTCATAATTTTTACCTCTTACAATCTGCCTGTAAATGATTCCTACATTAAGACATAAAATATTTATGAGAAAGTCTGCCTCCCACCAAAGGACCAGACCATTTTGTTATGTTAATGTAACGAAATCATAGTTAAATACGTCGGTAGATCAACATTAAGGACGCTATGCCAGAAAAACCTTCTCATTATGCTGATTCACATTTAGTATTGGTCTCCAGTGGCTCAGAGGGAAGTCTAAGGGCTCTCAATGCTAAAAACTTGGTTTCCATACTCGTAGTGGATACAGCACAGATAGCCCATTGTGTAGCTTTGTACTTAAGAACAAACAAGCAAACCTTTACCGTTGGAAAGTTATCATATAGTTAGTTCATCGTGCAAGACGTATAAGCTAGTATATGGAAAATTCCTTTGACCATTCACTCAGGTGGCAGCATGGCGCGTTCCAATTTTCTCGGGAACGGAATGGAAATCTATAAAAAGGAAGTGATGAATCATCACCTTAAACTGAAGAAGTTTCGCCATTGTCTGAACAGATTCATACACAGTACTATTTAAAATTAAGAAGTGTGTAGATATGTGGGTTTAAAATACTTAAAACCCTATATAGAGGCAGGGCCGTCGAGAGCGGCGGCGGGCCCCCGGGCTGAGATCGCCCCGGGCCCCCAGCGGGATCCAGGAGCTGAGCCCCTGATGGGAAACCAAGAGGGAAGCTCTAGACTTTTAATAATTTTAGCAATATTCTAAGTCTTAATACCACTAAGTTACGGCTTAAAGTGCCGATTTTCTTTGTGAAATTTTGCCTTTAAAAATCAACAATATCATTTTGAGAAAAGAAAAAACGTAAACATCTGTTCATTTAATTGGATAATTTATTGAAAGTTTAAACACATTGTCAAGAATTACTTTAATGAGTTCAGTAATGCAGAATTGTGATAACTAAACGAAACATGCTTCACGTGCCTTTTTTAAAGCAAATGTTTGTATTATTTCACTGAAGTCAATTTTCCCCGCAAGTTCGCTCTCAATACTAAGGACGTTTAGGTCATTCAGTCTCTCCTTTGTCATCGTGCTCCTCAAGAATCTCTTGATGAGTTTTAGTTTGCTGAACGTGCGCTGGAAAGCGCTCGCAGCGCACAAATCTCTCTTTTAGTGCGAAATTTTTGTCTTTGACTTTAACTCGAAAATCTTTGTTTTTATTGTCAGTTGCATTAGCATTACCAGCAGTTTTTAATGTTCTATTGCTATAACTATGTTTGAAGGAAATTCCTTTATTCAGTCCAAAGTTATGCTATTTTCCATTTGAACTTTGCTTGGCTTGTACACTAATTTCGCATCAGTTTTTCTGGTCTATGGATTCTTAGCTTAAGAGTATGCAAATTTTTAAAAAGTCGAGTTTAAAGTTGGGGCATTTTTTATGGGCCCTTGGGCATACACGGGCCCCAGGGTAGTTGCCTCCTCGCCCCCCCCTCTCGGTGGGCCTCTATAGAGTTATGTAAAACGCTGCAGGTCCAGAGGTAGGGTGTACATGAAACCCTCTGAGATAGGTGGGGCTAGAAAATAATTTAACTCCGTACGTTATCTTTTAAAATGTGTGACAAGTATGCGTACCCCCTTAATATAGGGAGTGAATGGCTCGGGAATATTTTCCTAAACAAATTTTGTGAAATACTTTTAACACAAACGCACAAGTGAGTGTATTACCCCCATCTCCGATGGCGAGCAGCAACTAAGAAAAAGAACAACGCGTCGTTAAGTCAGTAAATGTTACTAAACCTGCCTTCCCAGAATTGTCGTGATCGAGAAAAGACCGTTATACTAATCAATATATTTAGACCCATGTGCTTTAAAAAATAAGCGCATGGATGGAAAAGTCATACTTAAGGTTTTGCTTGGTCCATGTGGCGTGCGTTGCCTAGGTAACAGTCTATTGATTTGTTTTACCCTGTCCATCAGTGAAATGATGTCAAAGTCGTAACGCCTCTCCGTATTGTCATATCTTGGCGGTTTGCTAGGGCTTATGTCAACAGGCTGATAATTAGGTTAGTAATTATTTTTATGATTGTAGTAATTACTCTTTTTTCATATTACATATCTTGTTCAGATGATGTGATTAAGTATAGTTGCGTAAGACAGTGCAGTACATATTATAGTACAGATTCTTTAAAAGACAATATAATGTTTAGAAAATAATGCCTCAGTTGGTTGCTATAGCAGCCGGTAAAGTCAACTAAATTCTTGAATAGCAAACTGTGCTATTATAAGCTGAAGGTAAGATTTTTTTTCTTTTACCTTTAAATAAAAAAAGAAGTTATATTTTAATATGTAAACATCAAATATATTTATTAGTGCCGATATTTTCTACGTTATGAAACAGCAGACTAGAAATGACGTCATATACTGACTTCAGGCTTACCTCTAACCTTTTATCACTTGCAATTTGCGTGAAATGTACCTGTTCGTATGTTGTGATATGGCGTAAATTATGTGAAACCTATTCTTTATATTTAAGCCAATTATTACATAATTTATATTACTGTCACACATAGAATTAAACTTACGTTTCCTGTTTATATTCTAAATGTAATTTGTTCAATTAAATTTAATATGCAAAAAGCAAAAGTTTTTGTGAACTTTACATATACGGAGCTTTGACTTTACTTACTTAGATTTTTTTTCAATATAAGATAACTGTTTTTATTGATTTTCCTATAGTAAGAAAACTAGAAGCTCACCACTTGATTCGAAAGTAAATATTGCTTACTTTCAATTATTAGAATACTGATGATAAAGTGCTTTTGCTCGTGTTTAGCCAGCCCGACACTAATATTTGGTTGAACCTAAAAATCATTAGTCTTTCACGTGGGAGATAACAATCCCTTATCTTAGTGGTCAATAATCACAGCGTTGTAACGGCATAATATCCTTCCGACCTGTACTGTGAATGCTAAAATATTAACACCATATTTTTTAAAGAAGACTGTTAAACAATAGTCGTGATTTAACTATTCGACAAAATTTGCAAGACGGTGGTTTCCGAGTATCATAAACAATTAAATCATTAGTGCTAAATATATCTGTAACATTTTCATATTAATTTTCTGAGAATTCAAAACTGCTGTTAAAAATTTATCAGATATTAAATTAAAAATCTTGTATTAATTATGACTTATTAAGTCAGTCAACTTTAAAAGTAAGGGAAGTGGAACTTAAAAGAATTGAAATAAAAGTAGTGTAATATAGTTTATCAACTACACTGTTCATACTTTTAAGTGTAAAAAAGAAAAAGTTGGATCGAGTCCATTTTTGATGTTTTGTTACCATCCGAATCTGTTGATAACAATCTCATTGGTTACCTTTATAACAAAGGTATTTTTATTCATTTTTATCCAGGAGCTGTAGTGAGGAATATAGAGCAGCTTTGGTATATACACTGAATGGTCACAAGTAAATAGACACCTAATTTTTCGTCATTTAAC